AATAAGTAGTAATTTCTCACTTCATCAGTATCCACTATAGGCTTTTTGTTACTCAGATACTTATCAAATTGCCATACATTAAAAAAAAAAAAACAGTGTTATGGATTCAACTCTGTCCATATAAAATTAATGGGTTGGAGCTCTAATCCCCAAACTGACTGTACTTAGAGACAGGGCCTTAGCAGAAGGTAATTAAGGTCAAACGAGGCCACAAAGGCAGGACCCTAATCCAATGTGCTTGTGTCCTTGTAAAAAAGGGAAAAGACACCAGGAGAGTTCACACACAGAGAAAAGGCTGTGTAGGACACAGTGAGAGGGTATTATCTGCAAGCCAAGGAGAGAGGTATTATCAGACACCACCCCTGCAGGCACTTTGATCTTAGACTTCCAGCTTCCAGAGCTGTGAGAAAATAAATTTCTGTTGTCCAGAGGAGTCCACACAGAGGACTATGAAATTCACATCTTCAGCCTTCATTTCCTTCTCCTAAGCACTGACATTCATTTTATTCACCTATTTAAAATAAGCTCCTCTTCATGGCCCCATAATTACCTTCCTCTTGTGACTCTCATTATCTGTTATTAATGGACCAATTGTCAAGAAGCCACATCAGGATCTTTCTCCCTTCTTCAACAGCAATAACTGGATCTGAGATAGACAATAAAGAGATCACCAGAATCTACCAAGCTAATAGCATTTGAGTCTTTGGCTTAAGTCCCAGATCTACCTGGAGATAGGGAAAGAGCATTAGTCAGCCACTAAATGTTCCTAGAAAGTTCATGACTAGGCTTCCTTTTAGGACAAAAGATCAGGTCTGACAGGCCGAAGCATTTTGATAAGTAAAGGCCCCACCCTTGGTACAGACAGAAAAGACTGAATTACTGAAGACAAAAACAAAACAAAAAAAACAAACAACAATTGCCTTGGATCTCCGCAAAGCACTAAATTAGTAGGGAGCTCTCCCTGGTACTATTTCGCCCTAGTCTTAAAACTTTCTTCCTGATTTATTAATTTCTATTCACAACAGTGTGACAACCTGATCTTCTGGTCCTGTGGCCATCCTCAGAGGTATGGGCATCAGGGTCCAGCCACCACACTACCCTTCTCGTTCTTCAAGTCGCATAAACTCAAGACTTTTGGGTTACCTTTGACTCCTTTCTTAATCTCAATCTCATTATCTATTGGCCACCCTGTTCTGTTTATGTTTTCTTTAAAATTCCATTACCAGTTTCTGCTGGAATGTTGAGAAAGTTCTGGAGATGGATAGGAATGTTACTTAACGCCGCTGAGGTGTGCATGTAAAAGTGGATAGTCACTTTTATATTACATATATTTACCTCAATTAAAAATTCTATTTGTCAGATACAGGTCCTTAGGACTGAGACCTCAGTTTCTGCCAGTCTTCTAGATGTTCTCCCTGTACTCAGCTTCTTCCCATCCACCCATACTACATAGCATCTCTTAAAATACTGCTTCCATCTTATGACTTTTTTCTTCAAAAATTTACTATTTGTAGGTTAATTTTAATTCCTTAACCTAACATTCAATAGACTCTACCATCTAGTCTCATTCTAGTTTTTAAGTAATATCATTTGCTAATCTCCTGTAGCTGCCTACTGACAGCTTTGTCAGACATTTCCCATTTCCACTGACAATGTTTTTGTGTCCATGCTCTTTTCCTTGCCTAGATGATTTTCCTCACCATCCAAAGTCATCTTATGCCCCCCAAATTACTTTTTTCACAAAGTGTTCTCTGACCACCATAATCCAGATTGATTTCCCCTCTCTTCTTATTACCACTGACCGGATGTTTTATTTTTAATTGTTTTTAATGTTTGTTTATTTTTGAGAGAGAGAGAGAGCGCGAGCACGCGCAACCATGAACAGGGAAGGGCAGAGAGAGAGGGAGACACAGAATCTGAAGTAGGCTCTAGGCTCTGAGTTGTCAGCACAGAGCCTGACGAGGGCCTCAAACTCACAAACCATGAGATCATGACCTGAGTTGAAGTTGGATGCTCAACCAACTGAGCCACCCAGGCATCCCATAGGATGTTCTTAATACTCATTTGAAGAACTGTAGAATGTATACCACACACATTCTACCTCCTCAAATCACACACTCCTTGAACTCAGGATGTTTAATCTTTTATTTCTTGGTCTCATCCTATATGTAAGTAGGAGGTACCAAATAAATATTGATGGACTGATCCAATTCCACCTCAACAAGTATGAAAAAAAAAACATTTGTTCTGAGATGGAGATACATTTATATTACGGAAGATTTTCAATAGGGAACTTTCAAATAAAAGGGTTTCTAGTTGATCCTAAATGAAATGAATGCTATCCTGAAACCTCTTTATTGTTTATAATCAACATCTATTCCCAAAACATAGCTGAGATTGTTAAAATAAAAAATATGTTACTGGCCCACCAAGATAAGGATAACAGATCAAAAAATATGAAACACTGCCAAGCTGAGACAATTAAGCTGAAACCTCAATCAAGAAAAGGGAGTTGTCACAGTGGAGGGAAGTTTAACATGGCAACAGGAAAGGAGGATCACTGAAGTCCTTTACAGTGTCTCTTCAGTGTGAATTGTCTAAACTGGGGCTTTGACTCAAGCAAAGGTTCTGGCAGGCATCAACTTTAGATGGAAGCTTTTGCATCTGGTATGCAGAAATATTGGTATGCTAACTAAAAATACAATCTCAGAACTTTAGACTTCAGTCAAGTCTAAAGTTGAAAATCTGTTATCAGTGAAAGAATCTCAATGGTGTTCTTCCACACAGAGGTCACTGTTGGTTTACATGATCAAAAGACAATCTAGAGCAGCAAGGAGGCTCACACGCAGCATTCAGACTATCCTCAATGCAAGTGTTGGTTTAGCTTAAATGTCTGAAAAAAAAACCACCTAGTTGAGGCTCTACAATTCCATAAAGCATGAAAGAGAGGATCTTGATCTGGGAAACTAAGTATATTCAAGGATCCAATAGCTTCCTCTTCACACAGGATAAAATTCAAAGGTCCTTAATAACATTTTAAAAAAAAGAAATCTCGCATAGGGTTGTGACAGAATCTAAAAACTACTTAAACTGTTGTTATGAGGACTGAAATATAAAAGCAGGGTAGTCTTTACTAAGGAGGTTTTCTCAAAATATATATATATTTTAATATATTAACATCTAGTAAAAAAGGGGAGAGGAGACTGTAACTGGCCAAGTGTAACATCTGCCTTTAGGGAGTCCATAAAGAGCCTTGTCACTTCCAGCTTTTGAGTGACCTGTTGTCACATATACCCTCTACTCTAACAATACCACATACAGAAGAAATCAACAGAAGCACCACAGATCTTTTTTTCTTACCTGAATTAGGAAAGAAAAATTTATTTTCAAGAGGCTATACTGTCTGATATCTGAAGCATACTTTATTCCCTCCCCTCACTTAGCAGCTTATGCTTGTAGGTACTTTCATGAATACTTCCTTTATTGAACCTATCAGATGTCGCCCCAGAGGTTTTCAGGAAATGAGAGACTACCACCACTAAGGCAAATGTTAGTGTCTCTGCCCCATTTAAAATTGATTAGTTGTGCATAATCACACAACCACTGGAGTATATAACCAGTCTTACGTTTAGAATGAGAGTACTTGTTTTTTATGGTGCAAATTAAATTTTTTGGCCATCAGGGAAAGAGGTAATGAATGAGAAGATAATTTACAAAGAAGACCTAAATTATTACAAAATATTTCTACAATGTAATTAATAAAAATAAAACAGTGCATTCTCCTTATCAAATGTAAGCTACTCTAAGAAACGTGATAAAACCTTTCAAAGTTCACAAGTGTTAATATTAGTACCTAATATTAAGACATAATATTAATAAAGATTCTTAATAATATATATTGATTCTTATTTTGTATGAAGCACATATTTAAATCTTCAACTAACACATTTTTAATTTATTTTTAGAAATTTATTTTAAAATTTAATATCTTCATGACAAGGATAATATATTCCTTACCAGAATCATTTAGGGAGCAATGTTTACCCTCTTGAAATCTTCATATATGTAAACATGAAAAAGTTCAGTTTTTAATGAACAAGCCTCTAACATGTCACTTACTTTCACTTACTGATATAGAAAGATTAAAATACTAAAATACAGAACAAATGGTTCTGCAATTTTTACTTTCATATATAATTACGATTTTTCAAATAGAATACAACATGCGACATGGCCTTCTGGCATACCCGTTGTTTAGTATGTGTACTACATGAGAATAATTACTCTGCTACTTTAGAGGAATGTGGTTTTAAGTAACATCCTCTTTAATCTGGCAATTAACACTCCTATAAATATATATTCTCTTTTTCTAACTTGAAAAAACAAGGCAAAAAATGGCTTTTCAAGACTAAATCATTGTTCTTACTATATTTAGGAGGGAGAACTAAATAATGATTATGCCTACAGTTACTACCTTTAAAAATAAACTTTCCTCACTTAAAATCACTTCATCATGCAATCAAAAACCTATTTTCCTTCATTTGTGTAAAAGGAACACAATTGCTTTAGGACTCATTCTTGCTTAGGCAAGAAACAGCCCACTACTGACCTTCTAGTCTCAAAGGTCACTAACGAAATATAACTTAATCAATATCTCCTACAGAATTTAATGCCTTACTCCCACTCCCTCTATGATAGCCACTAGTCAGAAAAGAATTTCTCTGGCTCACAAACCTTAGGGTTTTTCAGTATTAGTTAAGTATTCATATGCCAAGAGTCTCAGAAATTACACTTAGTAGAGGCATTTCATATTCAATTTAGTATTATTTTAGAGTAGAAAATAAGAGCCTAGAGTAAAAGAGAAAAATGGTGGTTGTGGAGAAACCACTTATATTTAAAAGCTTATCTTAATATTTACCATTTAGGTGTTTAATATTTAAAGGCTTAGTTTTAACTGAAAAATAATGCTGTGTGAAGTGGACGTTTTTAACTGCACTAACCCTGGAAGAGTTGAATGAATCGGGGGTGCAATGCCGAGGTGATCACGCTCTCTGGCAGCTCCCTCAGGAAGAGCTTTAACAGACTGGCTGCCGAGCAGACATCCCCATCTTTCCCGAGCTCCACGGGCACTCCACTCTCAAACTTCCATCGGAGCTGTTCTACCACCTTTACGTTGCCATTCACCCTAAAAAGGCCTTCCTGGGTGAGTCCTGGAACAGGGGAGCAGACACACAGAAAATAATAGAGATTTCTCAGAAACAGACACTAACTCTAAAGAACGGTAACAACAAAAACAACAAAATAAATTTCAGTATACGGTTTTCCAAATAATTATCACATACTGGAAGATGTTCACATTTTATAAAGATGCTTTGCTAGGATAATAAATTTTCAAATCTACTATGTATCAACTAAAAAGATCATATAGCATTGTTATAAAAGCAGACTGTTGAAAATAAGTTTCATACACATAGAAACATAGAACAAATGCTATTCTACAAAAAAAAATTGCATTTATAATCTTCTGTAGTATGTAACAGAAACTTACCCTGGGCTCCAGCAGCACCTCAGCATTTTGAAAACAACTATGTAAAAACAAAAACAAAAAAAACCCACTAACATGTATGTAAGAAACTTAACTGTATTGATTATCTTTGTAATAAATAAGAAGAGGGTTTTTTTTTTGTTTTTTGGTTTTTTTTTGTAAATTCAGAGGATAACACTGAGACTATAAAGTAATATAAGAGAAGACCCTTGCTGTCAGCCAATTGATGGGGGATCTTATTGTTGGCTGGGGCAGCAGAGAAGCCTCCGTAAGAATCTGGTCGCTGGGCACCATCTTTGGCAAAATCATAAAGAAGATAGGAAGACGGGCTGATGAACTGTGAAGCTAATACACTTTAAGCTTCAGGGCTCCTCATATATTTAGATCTTTTCAAATGCTCTGTGTCTAATTCTGTATTCTTAATTTTGTATTCTTTTTCTTAAAAAGGGGCCCCAAAGGGGTAAGCAGCAGGACACAGAAAACTGTGATTCATCCCTGACAAAGAAGAACAAATAAATGAATTGCAGAGACAGTACAACATTAAGGAAGATAAACACATGAAAATGTGGAGTCTTTAGATCAAAGAGTGATAGGGGTAATAAAATGGAAGAAATAGGATAGAGCCACAAATGTCAAGTTCAAGAGTGAACACTTGAGGCTCCTGGCTAGCTCAGCTGGTAGTACATGTGACCCTTGATCTCAGGGTCATGAGATTGAGCCCCACACTGGGCATAGAGTCTACTTGAAAAACAAGCTACAACTTTATCATGGGAGCATTAAGGAGTAGGGGGAACATGATATAATCAAAGGTTAAGGAAGATCTTGCTAGCTAAGTAGAGGATGGAAAGGGCAGAAAGCTTGCCTTTGGGAACCACATTCTATTCTAAGGCAATAAGACGGATTCTGGTGGGAAGGAAGTGAAAAGTAGAGAAAAAAGATGCTTTGGTAACTTCATACAAAAAGGAAGTAAGGAAGAGGAAGAGTTGAAAGGTAATTTTAAGGTTTAAAAACTAGGAATTCAGGAAAAAGCCCTGTAAAGCATAAGATGAAATGGGGGTAGCCGGTTCAGGTGAAAGGTAATGATTTCCAGCTCAGTGTACTGGGGTTTAAGGAGACAGAACACTATATAAGAACGTAAGGCAGCCTGTGGAGGCATGCTGAAGGTGTAAGAAATAATCTTTCCAGTAAAGAGCAAGCCAAGGACTTAACTGGCCACTGTTCTTTTGAGAGTTTAATTATGCCTTAGGGCACTGAAGCCCATTAGAATTATTCAGATGCGAGCTGTTTGTTTATGTCAGCTTTTGTTTTTCTTACCTAATTGTATTGCTCTTTCTAAAGAAAAAGAAGAAAGCTAATTTCATTTTAATTTGTAATTTGATAAAAAATTTTATGAACCCTTGGGCTCAATATTTAATGAATACTTGGCACTGTATTAAGAAACTTAAAAAAAAACTTTGAAAAAGAAATTCAAACACTACCATTATCCTTACAGAGTTCATAGACTGGTAAGATGTTTACATTAATTTTCTTATTTTTTAACTAACTTTTTCAATGTTTATTTTTAAGAGACAGAGTGAGATGAAGTGCAAGCAGGGGAGGAGCAAAGATAAGGGGAGACACAGAATCTGAAGCAGGGCTGTCAGGCCAGAGCCCAACATGGGGCTCAAACTCAGGAACCAAGAGATCATGACCTGAGCCAAAGTCTGATGCTTAACCAACTGAGCCACCCAGGTGCCCATATATGCACATATGTGTGTGTATATACATACATATGTGTGTATATACTATATAAATTTGGATATGAAAAGTTTACGTAAATTTTAGCTCCAATTTTGACAAAAGTTTGGGAAACCAGAGAGGACATGTAAAGTATTTTAACAACCACTATGACCAGGGCACTATGTAATGAGAGGAGAAAGCAGTCAGTCTCTGTGGTAGACAGCTTCTCAAATCACCCTAGTGATACCTGTCTCCTGGTTTCCACACCCATATGTAATCCCTTCCCCTTGCCTGTGATCTGGATCTAATGACTTGCTTCTAACAGAATATAACAAAAAATTATGTTTAGGTTCTAATATTGCTTTTGAAGTTAGGTTATAAAAGGCTGATGTTCATCTTATTGTGCGCTTGCTCTCTCTTTCTCTCTCTTTCTCTCTGGCTTTGCTGGCTTGCTCACTCTGATGAGTCAGCTGCTTTTTATTTTGTTAGCTATCTTATGAAGAGGTCCACGTGGCAAGGAACTGAGGGCGGTTTCTGGACAGCAGCCAGTGAGTAACTGAGACCCTCAGGTCAACAGTCCACAAGGAACTGAATCTTGCTAAGAACCACGTGAATGACCTTGGATGTGAACCTTCCCCTAGTCAAGTACTATTATGACTGCAACCTTATGAGAGACCCTAAGACAGAAAACACAACTTAACTGTGCCCAGATTCCTGACCCACAGAAACTGAGATAATGAACAGTGGGGTTTTAAAGCTACTGTGTTTGGGGGCAATCTGTTACACAGCAACAGATAACTACTATGATATGCCATGCTCTTTAATATTGCAGAATATCAGTTATTGAGAGACTTCCTGTTTAACTCATTTTTTTTTTTTTTTTTTTTTTTAGAGAGAGAGAGAGAGAGAGAGAGACAGCATGAGCAGGGGAGGGTCAGAGAGAGAGGGAGACACAGACTGAAACAGGCTCCAGGCTCTAAGCTGGCAGTCAGCACAGAGCCCGACGCGGGGCTCGAACCCACAAACCGCGAGATCATGACCTGAGCTGAAGTCGGATGTTCAACCGACTGAGCCACCCAGGCGCCTCCTGTTTAACTCATTTTTAAAGCTTTCAAGATCTATTTCCCCCATTCTACCAGCTTTATCTATAACTTCACAAATATGTACTGCCATCAAGCAGATAGCACCCCCAAACAAGAATCCCATCCCAAGACCCAAATTATGAAAATTTAGAATTATGCATCCCAGTCCTGTATCTACCCAGCTCCTCAGCTTGTTTTTGGCCAGCAAATGCTTCTTGGACCTGATTTCACAGTGTTTTTCTAGCTTTGACCTTAGGTTTTCTTTTCCAATAAGGCTTTTTGACCCTTCCCTCAAATAAATATTTCCAGTTATTCCAAAATAACTACACAGCTCCAAGAACTGGCTTTGGTTTTCAAGGTCTCTATCCCACTGGCTTTTACTGGTGGAGAGATAAGGTATAAATGGAAATCACTGAAATTAATGCTTCTCAGTTATTCTTTTTTCTGTCTCTATTCCATTTATTTGTATAACCCTCTCCCCTCAAAACATCTCTCACCCAAACAATTCTTATACCCAGTGATTTTCAACTAGAGACAATTTACCTCTGGACATGGCTCTATTATACTCTGGGAAAAAGAATTCATAGTTTCTTAAAGCCCTTATGGATTTATGATATATCCAACACCCATAATGAGACTTACCAGACTATAAAATCTTTCAATTTCCCTACTCTAAATTTTTAGGAAATGATGATTTTAAAATAAACGTCCAGAGGAAGGAGAGGTTTATAAGGCTTTGTGAGGTTACCCTCCTTTATTTCTGGGATTCCCTTATATGCAATTTCAGGAGTTATTGGTTAAACACCATGAAACAATTTAATAATTGGTTTAAAAATGAAAGAATTACATAAACTAAATAGTATCTCTACCACTGACAATTTTCTGTACAACTGAGGTATTTATTTCAAAATAGTATGCATACATTGTTAGAAACTAAGTGTGCCATAAGTCACAATTTGCTTAACTGGCACACTTTGATCCAGAAATAGTAGGACAATACATGAACATATTCTGCCACCTGGTGGCAAGTGGACAGTCCTATACTACTTAAAATGGTACATCCCACAGTATCTTTATGCTGTAGGAATCCAGTAACATTGTCAACAAAATGAGTTACTTTAAACTAGTGTGAAGATGATATGCCTCATAACTTGCAAGATTTTCCTTCCAATGGGAAAATTTTTTTATAAAGAAAAAATATGTAAAGAAAAAAAACTTGACAGTCTTTTTAAAAGTCCTTCCTATAAACCTTAAACTCTTTCTGTCCTAAAATTCTTTTATAACAAAGAGTTTTCCTTCAAGTTGTTAAGGGTTTATATTTATATTAAACATCAAAGTATGACCCCAGTATCTACCTAGGCTTAAATGATATGACCCATCATCCCGACATCTGATTGATACCTGGCAGAGAGCATATTGTATTCTGCATGACAGGTGCACAGTAATACACAGATGCACAATAAGTATCTCTTGACACAAAAAAATACAAAATAATTAATGAAAATAACTGAAGTATCTTGCTCACAAACTTCATACTACCCTCCAAACTTATACAAGGTTTTTGGTTTATTAACATGGTAGTTTCATACACAATAAAGACCCTCTGGTTTGTCTACATAGTAATTAACTATATCGCCTTTCAAAACAGAGAGTAGGTGCCCTGCCTACCTTAGTTGCCAAGCCAAGATTCGGATTCCATGGATGTGCAAAGATTCCACTAGGGATTCTATTTCCCATTTCCAGTTAAGAATAGATTTTCTAGGGGCAGCTGGGTGGCTCAGTGGGTTAAGTGGTCGACTTCAGCTCAGGTCATGATCTTGCATTTTGGGAGTTCGAGCTGGGCTAAGAGCTCGGAGCCTGAAGCCTGCTTCAGGTTCTGTGTCTCCCTCTCTTTCTGCCCTCCTCTGCTCATGCTCTGTCTCTCTGTCTCTCAAAAATAAATAATTTTTTTAAATTAAAAAAAGAATAGATTTTCTATATTTCTAATTAAGAATGACTGATTTAGCCCTTTAAAATGTTTAGTTTGCATTACTTGAATACACCCAGTTCAGGCAGAACTATGGGTAAGAAGAGATATAATTCTTAATTCAAATTTTGCCAAAATTTTCATACAGTGATGCTGTGAATTTAACTGGTTCAACTCTTCTAGAGTTGATCATAAATGCACATATCCTTTGACCCAATAGTCTACAGATACACTCATAGTGCTTGAAATGACACATGTTAAAGGTTGGTCGCTGAATCACTGTTTACAGACAGCAAAAGACTGAATACAATTCAATATTCATCAGCATATGACTGCTTAAATAATTCATATGTATAGTCAAACACTGTGCAAGGGAAAAAAAGAATTACATGAGTAAAGCTTTTTATGCAATACAGAAAGATCTCCACAATATACTGTTAACTGAGTTTTTAAAAAGATTCATAACAGTATGGATGGTATGTTATATTCAGGTTTAAAGGGAAAAAAGATATGCATATATGATTATATATTCATAAAATAGCTTCCTAAGTATATAGAAGACACTAGTGAAGGAATACGGTTACCAGAAAGTAATACTGATAATGAATAATCAGGGGACAGGTTTTGGAGGAAGAGATTTTTAATTGTATACCCTCCTGTATTTTGTACTATATAAGTATATTAACAATTCAATAATTTTTTAAATTAAAAACAAAAGTGATTATTACATAAGATAACCCTGAGAGGCTATTAGTCGTTGTTGGATGAAAGATCAAAGCACTGACTACGCCAAAACCAAAATATTTTAAGTAGTCACACTTTGTATCCAAATGAGTAATACTCAACCTTATTTAAGAGATTAAATGAATTATGTAGAGACCCATTTGTATCTAAATCAGTAGGATATGTTTTTACTCAATACTGAGTGTTTTTGACTTCTTCAAAGTTCTAAATTAATATAATCCGGCTTCAAGAGCCTTAGGCTGAGGTCCCCATCATCCTGCCATGCTGTATACAACACCTTTTCTATTTAACCTGTTTAAAGTTTTGGAATAAACCCAGAGCTATTCGCTAAGCTCTGTAGCTTACCTGTCTGTAGCTTATCATCCTCTAAAAATACAGAGATAGCTCCTATAAAGTAAAAATGCAAACCTGGCTCTTCAGTTTTCAGAAAAGAATATCATTTTGGTATCTACATACCTAGTAATCTGGGCAAATAGTTGTTTTTCAGTTAACACAAAACACCTGACCTTCTGAGGTCTGAACTATGTGCCATACCATTCCTGTCACAAGTTGATTCACGTTCCTACAAAGGAACAGATACACTGTGCTTCTCACGTATTCCCAATGAAGTCTCTTTCTTGGGGGGGGGGGGGGTACTTGTAATCATGGGAAGATAAGGAAGCAAACTGCACAAAGTACAAAACACCTCTGAAGTCTCAAGTTTTACCTTTCCAACGAAGTTTCAGCTCTACTCTGCAGTGAGTCTTTCACATAGAAATGTTGCTTCCGTGTAGAAAATAATGAAAATCCCCCTGCATTTCCCTCAGAATATTTCCTTCTCAAAACTTCCAAAGCTTATTGATACTTATTATGTAGTTTGGGGTTTTCCCATAATAGTGGCCTCACTTGAAAAGCATGAATATCGAGGATATGAAAGAATTTCTCTCTACTTATCCAGGTTTTGAAGTCCTAGTTTAAATAAATTCATTTAAAAAGCTGTAAGATAGCTCTCAGTAACAAGGAGATTTATCTTTTTATCATTCAAAGACCTATGGTATTCTCCAATTGTTTTAAATGCTTAATTGTATCATTTCAAAAGTAAATGACTCTCCATAAGACTATATATCATATTTTTTAAAGTATGTACTGAGCTTATGAAAGCAATTAAGGCATCAAGTTCATGGATAGCCTCAGCTGAAAAAGATACCCCACAACTATTGTTACACTAAAAATTAGCATCAGTTGGAATTCAATGCATCAAGAGAAGTCACTATTAATATTAGAACAGTGTATTTTAGAACTCAAAACTAGGAATCATTCCAAACTAGAAATCTCAATGGTTAAATTGGTTCATGATAAACTGAATAGTACTGTCAATATAATATTAAGCAGTAATAATGCTCTTAATGTCCTTTTTAAAGGAAAAGGTACATTACATTATTTGATATCCTAATTAAGGTGTTTTAGGACTATTCTAATACACGGTAAAGTAGTTCACACAAAAACATTCTTCTTGTATACGAGAACTCTGAAAACACTGGAATTAAAATGTAACTTACCATGTTTTGTCAAGTACTCCACTATACTCTCCACTATTGTTGGAATGCCGTTCTCAGTGAGCCCCTGCTGCTGAAGCTCTTGTAGACTGACTCCAAATAACTTTTTATATGTGGAACTCCTCTGCTCATTCAGTGGTACTGCCACTATCTTTTTCATGTCTTCTTTCAGCCGAACCGCTGCTTTACTTTGCTTAAAAGAGCATAAGAAAAAAGAGCAGTCAGTCATATTTACCACAGGAGGTTGCATGGTAACAGGAGAAACACCTGAATTGAAACAGAAGTGTCTGGAGACCTAGAGTGAAGGTATTTACTTATTTTTTACTTTGACTCCAATCAGAACTACTAACATCTCTCACATGTGGCTCCGTGCTATGAATGGCCCATACTGATAGAATGGTTAAAAGGAATGAAAAGTAATGAGAAACCTAAAGCCACAACTTAACTGTAGCTAAGGGCGGGAGCGATACACTGCAGTATCTAAGACAGATTACTACAGTAACCAAGGGGTGGGACTCAAAAGTACCTGGTTATCAGGAAAGTAAAACATTTTTGAGATCATTAAAACTCCATGCAGATCCTAGGATAAAAAGAGATTTCTAAAGATGAAAATGTATCTAGAGGTCATTTTAAGGTAGCTTTAACTTGGAGACTCAGAAAAAAATGTATTTAGGTATAGTGAACATTTGTTTCTTTTAATTATATCTGTGAATGTATCGCATCAGTATTTTTTGGCACATAAAATCAGCCCCATTTCTCACTGAAGTTCAAAATATTCTATGAAACAGCAACATTTCAGGGAGTCACAATTAAACATTTTCAACAAGACTATGCGTATTATAAATAAAAAATGCAGCTTATGTTTAATTCAAGTTATCACCACAATGAAAATTCCATATAAATTTGTTTCTTCCTCTTAATAGAAATCTGTACTACAAGGGAGTGTTATATTAAACTATATTAAAATTTATCTTTTATAACTGAGGGATTTCCTTTTCAAAGCATGTGCACTATATAAATGTTAAGTGTCTGTAAGTCTAAACACTGAAAATCTGGAAAAATGCAAGCCATTTTGTTTGGGGACAAAGGAAGCAGATTGGGGGAAACTTTCACTCTTTGAGAATGAATGTGGCAATCAACCAAAGTGTAAATGTTGTAAATGCAAGCTCATTAGTATCCAAAAGTAAAAACTTTACCTCCAGTTTAGAATTGAGGAAGCAAAGATCAGAGTTAAGTAGTCTGGCACAAGTCACAGAGCTGGTAAGAGAGTGTCATCCTCCTCTAAGGCATTAGATTCATGTTAATGTCCTAGTGTAGTTTGTACGTAATTATAGTAACTTACTACTACAAATCCTATATACTGTATAACCTGAATAATGACACAAAGTTAATTCTACAATCTTGATTTTGAGTAGGGTCCCTGTATTCTCAATTTGAATCTCGTACAGAATTAAACCAATTTCCATTGAGATATCTGCATCTTTTTAAAAAATTTATTTAAATACAAGTTAGTTAACATACAGTGTAGTATTGGTTTCAGGAGAAGCCAGTGATTCATCGTCTACATATGACACCCAGTGCTCATACTAACAAGCACCCTTCCTAATGCCCATCACCCATGTGGCCCGTCTCCCCACCCAACACTCCTCCAGCAATCCTCAGTTTGTTCTCTGTATTTAAGAGTCACTTATATGGGCACCTGGGTGGCTCAATTGGTTACGTGTCTGACTTTGGCTCAGGTCATGATCTCAGGGTTCATGAGTTCAAGATCCACATCAGGCTCTGTGCTGACACATCAGAGCCCATAGCCTGCTTCAGATATTCTCTCTTGCTCTCTCTCTCCCTCTCTCTCTCAAAAATAAATATTTAAAAAAATAATCTTAAGTCTCTTATGGTTTGCCCCCATTTTTATCTTATTTTTCTTTTCCCTCCCCTATGTTCGTCTGTTTCTTAAATTCCATATATGAATGAAATCATAGGATATTTGTCTTTGTCTGACTTATTTCACTTAGCATAACACACTCTAGTTACATCCACATTATTGCAAATGCAAGATTTCATTCTTTTTGATTGCCAAGTAGTATTCCATTGTATATTTATACTACATCTTCTTTATCTATTCATCAGTTGATGGATATTTGGAGTCTTTCTATAATTTGTCAATAAATAATATTGTTGACAGTGCTGCTATAAACATTCATATTTGAAAGCCAGATTTTTCTAGTTGAAAATTCAGCAAATGTAAAGTTACAATAGAGATTTAGTATTAATACAGATAGCTAGCTACTATAGAGTAGTAGTATGGGCAATTAATATAATCTCTGTACCAAGGAAATTATGAACTTACTAAGCCAAATTTGTAACAGCTAATAATTTTGTGTGGATTAAAAACCTATCAATCTCCTTCAACTGAACATATGAGTAATTTCAGTCATCCAGGTATATCTGGTGACCAAAAAGCCAAAAAAGTAACCAGTATTCATGAAACTTTAAAAATACTCTCAACATGTAGCACTGAAAATAGCTGACAACATAAGGTTAAATCATACACATTTTATCTTTTATTTTATCTTCTTACAGAGACAAATACAGCTTAGTGTTTTAAAGCATGCACTGTGAACCAAGCTTCCTGTTTCTAGTCTTATTCTGCTCTAGTTAGCTGTGAACCTTGGAAAAGCCACTCAACTTGTGTGCCTATCTCCCCATTTATGAAACGGTGATACTAAGAGTTCCTATCTCATAGGAATCTAGGACATTTAATTGAATTCATATACATAAAGGAATGAGAGGGTATGTGGAACACTCAGTAAGTAGGGATTATTTATTATAAATCATCACCACCACCACCATCATCATTCTTCTTCCAGGACATTATTCTGATTTCTTCTTTTAAAAAAAATGAAGATTTACTTGCTTATTTCTATATCCAATGTGTGTCTAGACTCAAATTTGCTGTTTAAGAAGGCATCGTGGTCAACTTCTGTTTGGTTGGTAGTCTGATGATCTAATCATTCTATTTCTCATCTCCTAAAAATATGTAAGAATGACTTCTGAATGATAAAAAAATTGTATAGGGGCACCCAGGTGGCTCAGTCGGTTAAGCGTCCAACTCTTGATTTCAGCTCAGGTCATGATCCCGTGGTTCGTGAGTTTGAACCTCGTGTTGGGCTCTGTGCTGACAGCATGGAGCCTGTGTGGGATTCTCTCTCCGTTCCTCCCCAGTTCACATACTCTCTCAAAATAAACAAACTTAAAATAATTTTGTATATATGTATAAGAATTCCTTAAGTTTTTATTAGAAAGTCAAAGTTTCCTTAGAAATCCGGTCTATGTTTAATATCTTGGATTAATGCTCTTTCTGCTAACAATCCATGCTCTTCATTCTGTCCTTTACTTAGAACTACAGGCCATATGTTGGATTTCCTGTTAGTAGACAGTGTAGATAGGCAATCTTGGTATTATAGATTAGAAAGTTTTCAACTAAGAGACAGGCAACTGACCTCACAGATGGTGAAGTGACTGCAAGTGAAACTACCTGTTTACTCAATATAGAGCCATACTACACAGAAAGTTATAATAAAGGAACCTATGATGATTGTTTTTAATTGGTATTGTAATTCAGGTTAACATTTAAAAAATATTGTTTAAAAAAACCCACAATGAAACAAAATAGCTGCATTTCCCAAGTCATCAGAATCAATTGATTCCTCAAGTGACCAAAAATACATAACTATAAAATCTTGCTCATCTAGCCTAGCTGGTGAAGAAAACAGCAGGTAGGAACCAATATGTAGTTTAGGCCTAAACTACTATACTACTTTAGTAGTTTATACCTAAAGTGTTAAAAAATATACAACAGCTTATAATAAATATAATTATCCCTCTGGTAAGTAAGGAATATTCAGTCCCTTGGTTATGGAAAAATTAAATATCTGTAGAAATAAGATTATTTATGATTAATTCTATTTAAACTGAAATTATTTTCTACTCTTAGACAATGATATCTTTATAAATGTCAGTATCTATGGAATTTCAGCTTTTGAAACATACCTCTTACCTTTCTTGATTTAATAAAAGCTAAAAATAACAATTACCAATTGAGGTATTCAGAGTTAACGTTAACTGTTTAAACTTTGGTTTGTGTATATTCCTATTCATCACTTGAATTTGGAAGCTAGACTTGATGGGGTGTATTTATGTATATGTGTAAAAGTCAATAGGTTCCTACATTTAAAAAGACAGGGAACTTTGGGATTTTACTGCTGGAACAATCTTTATGGGTCATTGAGTGCTTATACCATCACCTTCGGAATAAAGAAACCAGAATCTAAAAACCTGTGGTGCGCTCCGTGAAAAAGGGCTGAAATTAGAGCCCATTTCTCTTGAATTTTATACCAATATTCATTTTTAAAATTAAGAGTTGGTGATCTATTTTATCTTTTATTTATTTTTTTTAACCAAAAAGTAAGTTAGATAGCCAACAAAATGAACATGCTGGGACTGCAGCAAGTATTTATTGGTTTGGGCTCACCCGGTCTTCACTTCCCCCCTTTTTGTAGTAATATATCCTGTCTTTTGGGGAATGACTACAGCCTTGTTGTAAGTAACTCTGTAGGGACTGCCACTGAAAAGGACTACCCTACTCTGTTTGTTAGCAAGAACTGGACTCAGGCTCCCTACCAGGTCAATTAGACCTTTTGCTCTTCCAGGCCACTGAGTCCTGAGTGGACTGTCACAAGCACAGAAAAAGGCTGAAGCTAAATGGTTCCAGCTGCAGTTCTCTCACAAGATGTTAATTAGCCATGGGATTAACTCTTGCCACCTGCATTGCTGGAGTTGCCCTGACACTGGTGCTTCAGCTGTTCCCTCCATGTGGGGAGCCACTCCAGGACTTTCCAGTAAAGTTTCTTTGTGCTTAAGGTAGCCAAACTCCATTTCTGTTCGCGCGCGCGCACACACACACACACACACCTCCAACTGATAAAAGTATTTTGGAAAAAATAAAAGAATCCTCAGACCATATAGAAAAACCAGGATTTTAGGAAAGAGAAAATCAGAAGGAGAATAATGGCTAATTTATATGGAATGAGTTTTTGGACTGTGTCAGTTATGGCTTCAGATACTTCAGATAGTTTCACTTATTAACACCCTAGTAAAGAAACACTAGAAAAGAAGAGCCTTCCGTGATCCCCA